AAAAAGGCTAAAGGAATTTATCAACACCAAACCAGCATTGCAAGAAATGTTAAAGGAACTGCTGTAATAAGAAGTAGAAATAGAAAGAGAAACATAGGCATAAAGAAATAAAAGGGCAATATATAAGTACCTATCAATAATAACCTTAAATATAAATGGATTAAATTCTCCAATCAACAGACATAGGGTAGCTGAATGGATAAGAAAACCTGACCAATATATATGCTGTTGACAGGATATAAGACTATCCTCAGAATAAAAGACTCACACAGGCTGAAAAAGAACTTCTGGAGGACTTTAAGAGAGAGCTCGATAGCAGTACAGTCATAGTAGGAGATTTTAACACCCCACTGACTTCACTGGATAGATCTTCCAGACAAAAAATCAACAAGGAAACAGTGACTCTAAATGATACACTAGATCAGATGGATTTAACTGACATTTACAGAACATTTCACCCCAAAGCTGAAGAATATATATTCTTCTCCAGTGCATATGGGACACTCTCAAAGATAGACCACATGTTAGAACACAAAACAAGTCTCTACAAGTTCAAGAAGATGGAAATATATCAAGCATCTTCTCGGACATTTACACCATGGAATACTATGCAGCTGTAAAAAAAGAAGGATCCCTTACCCTTTGAGACAGTATGGTGGGACCTGGAGAGTATTATGCTAAGCAAAATAAGCCAGTCAGAGAAAGACAAGTATCACATGATCTTACTCATATGTGGAATCTAATGAACAAAATAGATCCAGAGAGATAGAAGCATGGAACAGACTGACGAATCTCAGAGCGAAGGCAGGGGTGGGTGGGGTGAGATTAACCTAAGAACTTATATGCATATATGCATAACCCATGAACATAGACAATGGTGTGGTGAAGGCCTGGAGGAGGGGAGGTGCAGGGTGGAGGAGATCAATGGGGGAAAAAAGGAACATCTGTAATACTTTCAACAATATAAATTAAAACATAAAAAAAATTACTTTGTTTTTGAGCCTGGGTGTCTAAGGTTACAAGAGTAATGGAAGTACTCCTTGACTAAAACCAAGACCAAGACAGAAGAGTAATTGACAAGCTGAGTTCAGTCAGGGACACTTTAAGATTGAGATACCTTCTTTGTGTTCCCAGTGCTCCCTGCATACTCCCATAACTGGAATCTGTTTTGTCTTTCTCCTTCACTACACTGTACTTCTTACAGCTGAGCCTGAATTATCCAGCCCTGTCAGCCCAGTCTAGCACAGGTCTGACACCAAGTCCACAGGGCCTATTCAACCTAAGAAATCTCCTGTTAGGCACAGTTGCCAACAGAGGATCTTCAGTGTTTCCAGGGAATGGCTCCTGAAAAATCTAGGTCATGGCAAGTCTAGAATACATGTTTTCAGAGTTTCGGGAATGAACAGCATATCAGTTCCATACATAATGTCCGTCCCCCCCGCCCCACATTCTCATTCTTGTTCTTGTGTTAGTGCAAAGGCTAACTTTATAATTTTACTTAATTATTTATACCCCATTTTCAAGAACTTAAAGCAGATGATAGCAAAACCTTAGACAATCAATTCAAAGTAAGCAAGAAAGACAAAAGCAAACAGCACAGGGACAAAAAAAGTGGATGCAATGATAAAGTTACTCAAAAATGCACATCATGAAGATCCACATATTTGTTGTAGGTGGGCCAAGATTCAACACTAAGCTTTCTGGCTTTTATGTAAAAGGAGAAACTTGATCAGCTAGACAAGCTTAAAGATAAAAGCAAGCCAACTGTTCAGGAGAAGCACACCATTTCTAATGCTAACAGATAAACTCCTCCCTACGGTCCTCGTAGAGAGGACAGAGTAATATCACAAACATCTTTTCGGTAGTCACAGCAATGAGTTCTGTGGGACTGTTTCTCAGTTTCCTCAATACAGAAAGACAGCATCTCACCAGAGCATATTTCTGTGAAGACAATACTACTCTGCGATGGATATGCTACATTCCAAGTAAAAGAAAAATGTACATAAAACTAGACAGAAACCTTCCAGGTGTAGAGTTTTAGAATAAAGCAATGGTCTTAAGCCTTGACTGCACACTGGCATCATTGGGAAGTTTTTAAAAAGTTACCAATGCCTGAGCCCTCTCCTGACCTAATCACATCCAGATCTTCTAAGAGTAGAGCATCAACTTTTTTAATGCTGTTCAGTCCAGATCCTTCTAAAGCTTCACCAGAGAAGCTTTTGTCATGTCTGGATGCTCTAGACCAATTAGTCAGAATCTCTGGGAGAGAATCCCACATAAGTATTTTTTAAAGCTTCCCAGTTGAGTCCAATGTCTCACCAAGGTTAAGAACCACTGCTCCAGAGGAATGAATAAACTGATAGGCATCCTTCATGCAATGCTTCCTGAAAACTCTTCTCTTAGCTGAACTGTGGATGGGTATTAAGCAACATTTATTTTACAAAAACTGAGGCACCTGCCTGAATGGGAGGCCATTTTGCCACCATCTGGAAGGGAGCTGAGGGAAATCCAAAAGCAGGGACAAATTTATCTTCTGGATCTAATCTAATGATCAGGAAAAAATGGCCAATCAAGTTCCAGAGTTTTATTTCCAGAGCACAGCTAAAGGAAGACAAGTTAAGTCAACAGCCATTTAAGCGATAAGAAAACAACTCAATAAGACATCTAGTTTACACAATGATACTTTCTGAGGATTCTGATAGAACTGAGTGAGGTGACTTGTCACATGTTTATCTACAAACCAGTCCTAAGTCTGGAAACATCTACCAAAGACTATTTTAGTTTTAGAATTGTTGCCAGGTAGTCCCAGGAAGATTAGCAAATCCCAATAACAACCTCTATCAAACTGGATCTTGAAAAGAAAATCTGAGAGGACTCCAGAAACACGTTACAGCAGGCCACTGACACTACTAGCTCATAGTTCACACAGAGAGTTAGTTCCACTCTCATTTTTATGCACAAGACTTCATATGAGACAACGAAAGGTGTTCAGTGCATCTGCCTAAAGTCTAGGGAATGGGAGCAGGAGGGAGAGTTAATGTGATTTTACTAATTGCAAAGTGAGGCCATGGACTCGGATGTTCCATTATTTCATGGCTATCAGACAGAAGATGAATGAGGCTGGCATTCTACCTGAGCTAAACTGTCCCTTGCAACATAAAGGCAAAAAATACCCATCACACACCCTGGCTCAGGAAAAATCCTTAAAATAAGCTAAAATTTTTTTAGGCTCTCCAGGGAGAACATATACTGTACATACTAAGTCCAGGCCTAGATATTCAGGCTTTTGTTCTCTGCTACTACCAATAACTTTGTCTTCAATGTGAGCCTTTATGCCTCTATGTTATTTTCCAGCTTTTCTGTAACAACAATAAATGAAGGGGGAGTGCACAGGAGACAGGCTGTGTACACAATCATAAGGAAAATGTAGTGACCTTAATATAAAAAGGCAAAGTAAGGGACTGAAAAAGAATGGAAGGAAAAGGGAGAGAAGAAGGGAGGAAGGAATAGAGGGAGGAAGAAAGAAAAGAAATTCCAGTACCAGAAAGCAGTATCGCCATACAGAAAAGCTAACTAGAAATCTGGTAGTAGAATTAAGTGCCACCCAAGATTTTGTGGGAAGTGCTTTAAAGGTTTGACTTCATCTGTGGCCAGCTTTAAACACTGGGTTTTCAGTTGTACCATGTCAGGACACAGCCCTAGAGTTTCTGGAAAGCAACTATGAGGAGCATGCCATCAGGTTTGGATGACCTGTTGAACCTGCTCCAGCATTAACCTAGAGGACTGACACTGCAAAAGCACCCCACAGGTAGTGTGACTGCTGGGGCCTGAGTATTTCAGGTGGCATATTCATTTTCACTAGAAGCCAGTTCTTCAGCCACAGGTCCACCTGCTGTGAGAGGTCAGAGACTTTCACTGGCTCTCCTCAAGAAATAAATCCAGAAAGACTGATTATTTAAAACACTAATTATCTGTGCTTTAATCATAATTTTCCTGACCAAAGCAGGTATATTTTAAGACATTATAACCACAAGAGCTGCCAATTTTTAACTGCTTTCCTACCTCAAATCCCTTCCACAATAGGTTTAGACCCAAAATAGAGGACAGCTCCAAGATAAAGCATTTTTTACCAAAAAGCCTTCAGCAAACCCTGAGAGAAAGAAAGCTGTTGTAAAATCTGTTCCCAAATCATTGACTTCTGTTATCCACTTTGATGCCAGTTAGGGTGGTTCCTTTCAAACACGGTGACACAGAAATGCACTACACCCCTGTGCTCGAGGTCATCCAAGTATCCGCTAGAACTGCGCTCTCCTTTCCCAGCCCTGCTGAACCAGGACCTGCACTCTAACCAGTCCCCAGGGGCTCCCACGCAGCAGCAGCAGCAGCAGCAGCCGCCGCCCCGCGGCGCCGCCGGCCGCGAGGACT